ATATTCATATGATAATTGTTATATTGTTTTATGTAATTGAACTGGTACCATCAATTTACTTAATTTTGTATACAATTGCGAAGAACTTAAACAATAAAGAAAAGTAAATTGTGGATTAATTAATATTCTATCAATTTATTTATATTAAAATAATTGTGGTTTAAAAACAAAGAAGATTTTAATCTTTTAAAAGGATTGCGACCGATGGATATTTTGTAAAGTTAAAAATATTTGTTAACGTAAAAACAGAACATTCAAACTTTTTTTATACCACTGAGGTGGCAAACAAGCATACGGCCCGCTTAATAGTAAATGGTTACCGTAGCCTATAAACACCTGCAATACCAGAGGTATTACGCGTATGTTGCCGACCCTGAAGAAACCTCTTTACTCCCCCTTTGAAAAACCCCATGCTGTAGGCTCTTGTGAAAACCTCGGCAGGGAGCTCATTTCATAACCTGAGAGAGAAACATCTCTGAAACCGCGCAGTACGCGACCATTGAGGCTGCACAACATCAGGATGAACACCCTATCGATGGCGAGCCGTACGATGGTAGAAAGTGGCTGTGATCATCATATTGAACAATTTATCCGAGCACAATCCGTTGTACAAGCGGTAGAACAAGTATACTAATAGAGCAAACTAAAGATGACTATGAACATGACTTTTGTACACAATGTCAATATAATATGCACCTTAACAACTTAACAATACCATTAGAATTTACATGAGTTGCCATCATAAAATATAGTAGATATACGTGATGCCTTATTAAAAACAATTAAATAATAAACAAAGCAGTGGATATACATTCATTAACTGAATAAATGGCATAATGATATAATAATTTATTGAAACAAATTTTCATTCTTTTATTTAATGATCACACAAAAAATAATATAGAAAACATGTTCGACTGTTATTAACTTAACGGAACGGAAGCAATAATAGATATTATATTAATATAGAATATTACACATCAGATACTACAGATACACAGAGCATTGCCTCTGCGCGCGCCGCGTTATGTACAGTGTTACATAATTCATGGTGTCAATTAGATCATAGTTATATTGGACCTTGACTTTCACCTTCCACAGTATGTTAGAATGCGTGACGACCGGCAACTGGCGGCGACCAACGGCAATCGGCAACGAATCGCATCGCCAAATCATGTACTCATACACTCTAGACAGAGTGTTCCAATACAAATGCTTTGCTAAAAATAATCTAACCAATTTTTTCTTGTTTAGAGATATCGGAATTTATAGTTATATTATTTATAGTTATAAAATACTACATGTGATATCTATAAAGTAATAATATAATGACAGTGATATAAAGCGTGCATTTTTTAAAAAATAATATCAAAATAGAACTAGAAAATACATATTTTAATGTAAAAATAACAGGATTTACTTACATGTATTTTACTTTAAAATGCTTGACTAGTTTCATGACTATCCGGAATTCTCAAATACAAGAAAATATATACCTAACTAATAAAGCTAGAAATACAAAAAAAAAATTGTTTAATGAAATGATAAATCAATTTATTAGAAAAATGATAAAATACGTAACTATAGCACATAAATTATACTATAGTTACTTGATTTTCTACTATTATCTAGACTAGAGCTGACTTACTGAGTTTACCCGTCTAGAGCTGACTAAAATATGGTATTATATGATTTGAAAATCGTAGCATACAAATTATACCATTTTGCGTGAAATATCATATATTTTATTGTAAAAAGTATGAATATGTGAGTAGGTACTGATATTTCGTGATACCTAACCTACAAGAATAAAGGTCGACACATTTTATGTTTAAAAATACAGAATAAAAAATGTTACAAGGAAACAAAATAATAGGACGGATCTTTGTTTTCTCGTATAATTTGTGCACAATAGCTATAATAGTGCATTATTATAAAAAGAACATAATAATACGAATATTCTTGAATGTAGGTTCGTGATGAGACATGACAAGATAATCATTTTAGAACTACTTTTTACATTACACACATAGTTTAAAATGAGATCAACAATGCTTTGTTAATTTAAACAATAGTTACTATAACTATAATCGAGGATGCGTTTTAGGCCAATAATTTAATGCAATCTGTCTGTTTTTTTGAAATCATCATCTTTGTAATTAATCACGAATTGGCGGCGAATTAAGTTAGTTGCTTTATTGTTATTTTTCCCGTTTTAGATTTCATAATTTTTATTAATAAACTACCTGTATCCGCGGTTATAGCGGAGTGTATTAGAATAAATCTACTGTATATATGATCTATCTATGTACAAAATTTATACGTGGTCAATTATTTAAGCATGATTGAATTACAAACAATCAAACGTTTTTATTAACTTAAACATGATTAATAGATAAAGTGTAATCTTTTAAACTATTTCAGACACCGGCTTCTCTAGCTATTTCAGACAGTAGTTGTCTGGATTATTTTTTCTATCCAAAATACGATATGTGTACGATCTGCGTTGTTTGCGAGGAAATATAAATTATTTACATAAAATTATCTTTAAGGTAAAAAATCTATAGAAATTACTATTCCTATTACTGTTCTTCATACGTTATCATCATTTATACCTATTTAAGTTTTATACCTTTATACCTTATTATTTCCTTGTCGTATCCCATACATTTTAAAGTACGGCAGAAATACTAGTAAACCACTAGAAATAGCAATGTACAATTTGTTCATTCCTTCTCTCTCTCTCTCTGGTATCCCTTTAAGATAATTGTTTAGACTATAGCAAAATAAGATGTTTTAAATTTCAAATACTAGTTTATAATAAAAATTATATAAACTTATTATCAATAACATTACAGGGTAGCTTCCTGATCAACCACCGTGTGCCAATCACTGAAGCTGAGTGCATCGCTTGGGGTCAAGGTGAAGCCGTCAACAACTATATTGTTAAATTGCAGTAATTTATCTCATTTGCTTTTTTTACAATTGCGATTACGGTAGATAAGGTTAACTATAATTGTTTTTACCTAGACATTGGTTACTTGTAGTGATTGTTGTTTATCTGTTTAGACACAAAATTGGAATAAATAATCTACATAATACAATAGAAGCACAGCAAAGTCGATTTTCGCAGCCGTTTATAATTAATATTGCGGTACCGGTATTCTGCGAGACTTTTATATCGATATTTATTTATTTTATATATTAATTTCTGATTTATTGTTGGATCACAGGTGCTTTGGTTAAATTTAGTAATCCTGTTATTAATATAACAAAACTCCAAAAGTTTTTAACCTTTGGATGGATGGATGTTTGTTACTCTTTCACGCATAAACTACTGAACTATATCTTAACTTAGCACGTAGAATGCTTAATGTAGGATACTGTATGTGTGTATTAATGCGGGTGAAGCGACGGATAACAACTAGTATTCAATATAACTACTAATCGAATGTTTCTAGAATTTTATTATATGATTGTGTATACAGGATTTTTTTGGATGATAATGGAATGGTAACCCCACCCGCGCTATCGGTATACACCGGCGGGGCACCAGTGAAGGATGATAGGTGAGGATAAAGTAGATCAGTTAGCCCATCGTGACGAATTCAACAAGAATTGTTCACAATGGTTTCCAGGGGGAAGTATGTGGAGGTCGACCTAATAAGGCATATTGCTAGCAATGAGGCTGTCAACCTCCATTGCTAACAATCCCTTTCCACCCAGTTATATGGCCATATAGCTGACGAAATTGAAAATTGCCACTAATCTAGAGATATAACGGTTGGCATTAAACGACCTATAAATTGTCAGAGTAAATCTGATAAACCACCTCTAGTTCAGTTGTACGTCGGAAATAAAATGAGATATATCTTCGTGACCGGAAGGTGTATTGGGTCCTTGCTACGGCCACGACTCAGTACTCGATACCACAATTGTTGTAGTCCCCGTCGTCGAATTGTAAATATTATTTAATCTGATAAATCGCAATAAGTAATAGTGAACTTTATATATACTAGTATCCTTTAAGACGTTGCTCTATCAGTAAAATTTAATAAACTAAACTTAATAACAGTAAAAGTATTTTTCTCAAAGACTCACCATTTGCAAATAATAGAGATTTCCATACAATTTTGATAGCAGGATGTCAGTATAGGTGGATCAAAATTTTTTGGTGTTATATCTAGTCTTAGGGGAAAATAATTTATTTCTGGCATTACTATCGAAGAATTAAAGATTGTTATTCTCTTTTGAAATTCTTTTTAAATAACTTGTTTATATTGTATTATCTACAATATTGTATTACCTATATGTAGAGAATACGGAGAGAAATATGATTATATAATACAATATAGCAAATAGAATAACATACTATTTTAAAATATTTGTTTATAATATTGATTAAAACAGTGACGTAATAAATAAACACAGTATGAACTACAGATGATATGCTCTTAATATTTTTACTATAGGTATCGTGGATATCCTAGCACTACAGATGGGCAAAGCACCGGGTTTAAACCCGGTGCTTTGGTAAAAACCCAATAAACACCCATAAACTCCCATAATCACCCAAAAAAATAGGTTTTTACGTATTTTTTTGAAAATATGTAAGTAATACCAATAAATTATTTTTATAAATTGTATTGATCAATTCTACAATATTAAATAAAACGTTAACTAATAATATTTCAGGAAATTTTAAAAATCTATATATAATAAAATGAAAGTAATTAATTTTCAGTGTTTTCATGTTGCAGTTGATCAACATGTTGGCCTTTTGCTTCCCGTAGATACTTTAAAATTTCTTCATAACACCTCGTTCGCACACATGGCCGTATATATTTAAATTCTTGAGCCACTAACAGTCCGAAATACTCATTTCTTTTATCCTCTTCTCCATAAATTAAGCATTTAGAACAGTTTGTTTCTTCTTTCAGTAAATTTTCTTTTACTTTATCCTCGTTTTTTTCTTTGTTGCGACGACGCTGGGTAAATCATCTGGACACTGGGTCTCACTATCGCCAAATATATTTGGAGATCGGCTTCGGCTACGGCTTGGCAGACATTTTTTTCTTTCTACAATTTTAAATTAAATTTATTAGAATAAATGCTTCGAACACACGCGATCTAAGTACCTTTTGTGTTTATTATACCTTACCTACCTAGGTATAAAAAGAGTACTTACGTAGATTTTCTTTTATTAACTGTTTTATACGAAGATCTTGATCTCTCAAATTAGCATCCATTTTACTTCCAGTGATTATCAACTAAATTAATAATCCACAAAGTATTAAATAACGTTTTTATGAAATATTTAGCACAAAAACAATACCCTTTAAATATCGATCGTCAGTAACTGTGGCTGACTTACCTATATTCTAGCAAGCAGGACTGCCAGATGTGAAGGGGAAATCCCCAATAAATTGTTGCATGTGACTGATGATGTGAGCATGTTCGTTTCATAATAAAAATGTTGCCAGGTAACCAAAAAGTCGTATGTTTTTGTGCGAATTACGATCATAATCTTTACGATCGTACATTAAAAAATAGACAAATAATAGTATGAGTACGATTTAAATCGTATATCTCTCAACCCTGCTAGCAAGACAGCGACAAAATCACGTTGCATAACAATGTAGCCCAAGCTTATATCTTATGAAATATACGGAAGAGATACGGACTTAGAAAAAACAGAAATGTTGTTCTTTGTGGAAGTCATTGATGAAATTCTATGTATTTTAGCCCGCAAACTTTCTTCAAACAAAAACAGCGCCATCTAGTATCGAGTTCTGTAATTATCTCTTTGTTTATGGATTTGAAGTAAGACCGCCACGCATGCAATACATTATGACTGGGGATTCCCCTATTCGTCGACGCTGAATATGAGGCGACGACAATCACTGTCAAACGTGTTCACTATTACTCTGACTCTGGTAACGTGACTTCCTGGTAACGTGTTAGGTAGGAAAAGCAGTAAAAAAGTGCATATTAAGGGAGCAGATTTGAAATAATATTTATACTTAACAAGAAATAATTAAAGGTAAGTGGATTTTTGAATGATACAATTATATCATGATCACTTAACAATTTTAACTTAAAATTAGATGTATTATTACAAGCTTTTATTTAGCTTGCGTTATGTAAATAAAAGTATGTAGGTATGTTCGTATGTTGATGCAATTATCCTCAATCCTCAACCGACTGGGATAAAATTTTCCATACACGTTTATTTTGGATGATAGTGCATAGTTAGCTGAGAGTCGTCATTGGATAATAATGGTGGATAGCCTAAGATGTGTACTAGATATTTATTTTTAACATAATATGCGTAAGTACCTAATCGAATTAAAGAAGTTGCTGAGAAAAATACAGAACAATACGATAATAAACTAGCGTCTGCGTTTAATCCTCCGAGGAGATGTAATTTTACAAAGGTTTTTTGTATTTATTTTATTATTTTTTTAATAAATTTATTGTAAATAACAAGAAATAATCATTGTAAAAAAATAGGCACTCTATTGTTGAATTTTCGTCAGACCAACTAATCATCGTTCATTTTTTTAGGTTCAATGGGGAGACCTAAAGATTTACGCATATGGGAGCACTACCGTACTTTACCAAACAAGTCTGTTTCTTGCAAGCTTTGTAATAAGGTCTACAAATTCAGTAATGCTGCCAAAATGCTTCAACATCTTATCACTTGTCCAAAATCTCCAGAAACATTAAAAGACTCTATGAAACTTATAAAAGATAGCTCGTCCAAAACCAAAATGTCTGGACTGTCAGAGATAGAGACAAATGATTCTTTTATAAGCCCCTCGTCGTCTGCTAACACTACAATAAATGCTGAGTTTCAAGACACCGATGATCATATAAAAACAGAATTAGCGAGAGCTATATTTGTAACAGGGACGCCATTATCGATGGTGCAACATCCTTTATGGATACAATTTTTCGAAAAATTGCAACCAAAATTTAAAATACCTTCACGTAAAGCTTTAGCGACAAAATACTTAGATAAAATATATAGAGAAATGCGTTTTGAGTTAAATGAGGAACTAAATGCTTGTAGTTACTTACACCTTCAGTGCGATGGCTGGTCTAATTTAAGAAATGAAGGAATAATAAACTTTCTTATATCAAAACCTCAACCTGCATACGTTAAAAGTTTGAATACAGAAAGTAATCCTCACACTAGTGAATACCTTAGCCAAGAAGTTGAAAAGGTAATGAAAGTGTATGGAGCAAATAAGTTTCTTGTACTTATTAGCGATAACGCTAGAAATATACAAAAGGCATTCGAATTAACAAAACTCAAATATCCACATGTTGTTCCTCTCGGTTGCTGTGCACATATCCTTAACTTGTTGTGCCAAGATATTGTAAAGATACAAGAAGTAACTGTGTTTATTATGCAAGCCATAAATATAATAAAAACTGTTAAAAGGAGTCAACGATTAAGTTCCTTGTTGATAAAATCAAGGCAGGGTGAAGATTCTACACAAACACTAAAATTGCCTTGTGCTACAAGATGGGGAAGTCATGTTACTTCGTTAAAAAGTTTGAAAGCAAATAAGATAGCTTTGCAAATATTAACAGTTAGAGAAGATGTGGTAATTTCAAGAGATATTAAAGATTTAATTCTAAGTGATGATTTCTGGACGAAGACAGGGGAATGTATAAGTATTTTGGAACCAGTCACTGAAAGCATATTTTACTTAGAGAGCGACCAGAATCGTTTGCATCGCACATACATTACATTTAGAGATGTACAAGCTAAGATACGTTTTGCATTAAATGAGATTTCGACATTGAGCGAAGAAAGCAAACAGCAGATTCTAACATCAGTATCTTCAAGATGCAATATGGCAATGAGGCCAATACATTTTGCAGCATATATTCTAGACCCCAGGACTCTAGGAGTCGAACTTACTCAAGAGGAAGAACTTAAGGGTATGGAGTTTATCTACAATTTAAGCCAACACTTAAGTTTGTCAAATGTAATGGCAGATTTGGCGTGTTATAAAGCTAAAGAAAACTTTTGGGCCAGAGGATTTGTATGGAGCTCATTAGATAGCATTGAGCCCCTAATATGGTGGAAAGGTATTTGTGGTTCCACTGAGTTAAGCAAAGTAGCGATTCGTATTCTATCAGCTCCCTGTACTTCGGCAGCCACTGAGCGTTCCTTTAGTATCCAAGGCTACATACATAATAACAAAAGAAATCGACTTACAACTGAAAGAACTGAAAAAATTTCATTCATTTGTTATAACTGGAATCTTAAACATAAAGCTGAATGCGAGGACATTCAGTTTAATGAAGAAAATACCTTAGAAGCTTTCATTGAGCAAGTAAATGAACATAACAGTTTAGACGAAATAGAGCCTATCGAACCTATACAATTCATCGCTTGTAATAACTCTGAATCTGACAGTGATTGACTGTAGTTTTACATTTTACTTTCATCTCTTTCTTAATAAACTCAAAATCAAATTAAAAGTTTTTTATTCTGTAGGCTGCATAATAATATTGTCTATGTCCAGTATAGTGGACGTCTTGCGGCTGAGATGACGATGATGAAGTACAAAATCATAAACACCCAAAAATTTGGGTGTTTATGGGGTTTAAACCCAATAAACCCAAAACACCCGGTTTTTACCCACCAGACTTTAAACCCACCCAGGTGGATTGCCCATCTCTACCTAGCACCCTTCATTCTTTACTCTTTGCGAGGAACAGAGATATTACACTGTATCTAGTACGATCATTGCTGTAGTACACTCTTGTATGCACAGTCGTTCCTTTACAATGAAATTTCCAATTGAATCAAAAATTGGTTTGACTGTTTTAGTTACACTAGTAGGTTGAAATTATATGAAAAATCATTGTTGTCTGAAGCGAGAATATTTATTTTTAATCAAGTTTGTAGAGTTTGGCGTACTCCTGCCTGTTAGCTTTATTCAAGGTTGGCAGGTGCCTACTTTTTCTTCTCCGAACAAAAAACAAGCGTGATTAGCACGTTTATACTCGTACACGCAGTTCGTTCCATTAAATTATATAGAACAAAAAGTAGTTTTGGTTATTACCTACTTAATTTGTTTGTCAAATTGAGTTACCTACCTATAATTAAAGTTTGGCGATTTTATTATTAGATATCTAATGATAAAGGAAGTGGTTAAATTATCCGCAATTCATTAAAGAGAATCTTATGATTTTATTTATTTATTTTTTATTGAAAAAAAAAATACCAATAGCTACTGCGTTTTAATGTGATACCTATTAGTTTCACTTAAGTGTATTTGGTCGAGAAAGCTTGACTAGTGTTGGGACCATCCGGGACCTTTAGTCTTGAGCGGCTGTGATGCGGATGCAAGCCTGAATAAGATTAAACTCTAGACTATATAGAATTAATTGACATCTACATTTAGAGTAAGAGTATAAACTCTTTGAAATACTCATAGTATCAAAAATAAAGTCAGAAAGGACGTTTTTTCGCACTTTCTTCCATTCTGATATTTTAGATTTTTTCATACTTTGCACCAAACGAGAACGCAATATTACAAACGGTAATATTCCTGTCACTTTATGATGCCATCTTTCTAAATTTATTTCTAAAATTTTGTTCTATTTTTCACAAATTATATTCTGTTGTGAAATATATAATATAAATAATTAAGTAAATTTTACCTTTATATTCTCAAATTACTTACCGGATAACGGAAACATAAAAGTTCCATATTTGCCATATTAATATATAACTTCAAATATTCAAATAAAATTTGAACTTAAAATAAGCGAATTTTGAAAAAAAATATGTGTTTCCTTCGCTATAAACATTATTATACTCGTAGATGACAATGGCTCTGACCACTCAGTGAACAAAGAAAACACTGCGCTTATCCCAAATAACGAGACGAAAGCAATGATAGTAAACTTTGATGTTCTATCCATAATATAACTAAAGCCGGTTTATTTCTCTTATACTGCAAACTTCGCATGAAGTCACGGGTTGAAGCTAGTTTGAAATAATAATTAATGGCGACGAATAACAAGTTCTATACCTACTCAGTACAAATTACAAGTATCACCAAGTAACAATATAGCATTTTTTTATGTTATACAATATACAGTTATAGTTAATTAATAAGTACATAGTAACAACATTAATATTTACATGCACGTAGGGCGTGACTAGTAAATGCCTTAGGAGTGACCTGTTCAATTAACATTTGTTAACGTATGCATTTATATGTATAGGGCTACTAAAAGCTTAGGTTCAACGATTAACAATTAAACATCCCTTATCGAGTCCATGTCATACAAATTTGGGCACATTTCAATAATTTAAAGTCCACAAAGAAATGTAGGATTTCAACAGATCTAGATATTTCCATCTCTGCGTTCGTCCTTGAACTAAAACTTAGGTAGATCTTTGAGATTGTTTTTTGATATTTGTGTAGAGCGACATCCAATTTCATAAAGTTTAACTCATAATATTAACCAACATAGATGATGGCAATTATTTTATTTTTGTGTTACAGACCAAATTTCCTTTAGTGCTTGGTGTGTACTTATACAATGCGTATACTAAGTAGCATGAAATTTTAAGGGTTAACACCCCAATAACACAGTTCATTCATAATATATGAATGAACTGTGTTATCCGCCCACAATTATCTCTTTTTAATTTTTTAAATCTAATTTGAAAAGAATCTACCATTTTTTTAACAACATTGTTTATATAATAATAAATTTAATTATTTCCTAGGGGAGGCTTATGTTCAGCAGTGGATAGTTAAAAGCTGATATGATGATTATGAATTAATTATTATATTCAGTTATATTACATAAAAAAATGTTATTATGATTAATTAATATTATAGTATTGTAACTATTCATTAAATAATAAACTTGATATTATGATCATGTACACGAGAAGTGATTGAATTATGTATTAAATATTACTTGGAGTAAGCATTCTGAATGATTTACATTTACTGGTATATTTCATGTGATTTTTATTACATTTACTAATTGTATCTATTTGTTTACTATTTGTAAATTTTATCATATGTAATTAGTAACTATATTCTGCTAAATATTATTATTAGTACCTGTATTATAAGAAGAACACATGTAATGAATTTATTTGAATTTAAAATAAAGATATTTTCACATAATTGTTTAAAATTCTATGTAATAACCCTACCCGTCTAACCTGTTATTTTTTTTAGTCTAGATGAATATTTTTATGGTCTAAGATGATATAGACTGATAATAACTAATAACTAACTAATATTATAAATGTGAAAGTAAGTTTGTTTGTTTTTATTAATCTCTTTGAAAAACGCGTTAACGCATTAAATTTGATAAACATTTACTATATGGGATGAAGAAAGATATAGGCTGCTTTTTAACCCAATCAGTAAACATATCCCAGTCACGCGGACGACATTGTAGATAAAAGCTATTTTATTATAAAACTTAAAATTAGTATATTAAAATCCATGTTTATGTACCTAAACTGTAAATTATTTCTAACTAAATTCAAATTTATAACATTTATGAATATACACAATAATTTATAATGAATATATCAAGCTATAACCTAAGATATGAATGTAGAGATGCATATACATGAAGATAGAAGCGGCTTTCAATTAGTGTAGTTTCTGATTACCCCAATAAAAATTGGGGTATAACAGTTCTATACACTTCGTCAAAAGTAGCCTAATTGTGAATACTTTTAGAACTTCTTTGGGGATTAAAAACTTCGCTTAGACATAATACGATCATGAATCAAATTTAATATTTTTTTTGTGAAATCAAAAAGCAACTTGTACATTTTAATCTTTGGTTGTAACATAAACGAGCAACTATAACACGGTTAACACATTAGTCAGATATGAATCAATTAACGTATAATATGAGTTTGCAAGTACATACAGGAAGTATCGCAACAATTACATTTTGTTCCTTGTTAATTGGTCACGTAGCTATAATACACAACAAAGAAATACAGTAGCGATTTTTTCAAATTTTAACGATACACTTTTGACTTTAAGTTAACTTTAAGTACCTTATAATTTCCGTGTGGTGCCGGCCTAGAATAGGCTACCCGTTCCATTCTCATGTAAGTCGTAAGAGGTAAATAAAGGTTTTTAATGGTTGAGGAATGGGCAGCAGCGTCCCTCCTAAAATATTATCAAAGCCAAATTGTGGTTGTCAACCCTTCTGCCAAGCGTGAAAATTATTAGCAAAACCCTTACTACAGGAGAGGTTTATGTTCAACAGTGGGTAGTTAACGACTGGATATCATTATCATTTTTTGAGGCATTATCCGTCCACTGATGGACATAAGCCTCCCCCATAGACTTCCATAAGGAACAGTCCTCAGCCACTTGCATCCACTGACTCCCTGCAATACATTTCAGGTCATCAGTCCGTCTAGTGGGGGGTCGTCCTACATTGCGTTTGCCTATACACTCAAGAATCTTTCTTCAACGGCTGACATAATAATAATAAAATCTAACTAATTTTCTAGTCCTAGCTCTAGAAATGCAACTTTCTACAAATGTTTACTTCTCATAATATTTGTTTTGTTTGATTGAAAAGCTCCAAACCTTCTTGGGATCACCGTTGTCGGATACGCCTGAACGGACTATATCTTATGCGCTGAAATTTATAAATAATAATTGGTTAATTGTTTTATTATTATACTGGTAAGTAAAGAATATCCTTAAATAAAAAAAAATACAAATTATGTAAATTGTAATGTTATTATATCGAATACAAAGTAGATCATAGACCATTGCATTCATTACACCAATATTAATTACAAGTAAATACATCGAATATAATATTTATTTCCACATTGTATTTTTATCTCTTCATGAAAAAATGTTTGTTCAAGTAAATTATAATCAATATACATAATAATAACATCTGAGTCCTCAGGAATGGCAACGCATGGGAGGTATCATGAGCGAAATAGTATACTCTGTTATGTCCATGGTACCGCTCATGTCTATAGGCGAAGGTTACCACTTTCCATCAGGTAGGCCGTCAGCTTGTTTGCTATTCTAAGTTGTATAAAAAAATCTACTATTTAATTTAAAATTTGGAATTTTATTCCATTTGATAATTCCCAAATTATTCACGCGTTGGAAATCTGTAACGTTACATTAATTGGTATTTAATTGTTTTTGTACAAATACTGGTACAAATAGACTTCCCAACATTTAGTCAAGCGCATTTTAATATAACTAGATAAAAGGCCGACTTACCGCTATTAATATGATTCACCAATAATTCAGCCATTAATGGCCTTGTGAACAGGGCTTCCCCTATAGATTAATTACTATATACTATTACTAGACATTCTGAAATTCATTTCATGCAAAGTCCTCGATTCACTTGGTGATCATACTGTATTTTTATTTTTGATACGGAGTCAACACTCGCGAAAATTTTTTTCCCAACGGACCTTCTTCAAGATAATTAGCCCACCTTTTGCCATTTTGAAGGACATGAAAGGCTAGACCAACTTACCAAATTGTTTTTTTTTTAGTGTTGGTTGACATCAAAATAAAAAGTATGACATTATGAATAAAAAAAAATCCCGTTAAAACGTAATAATTAAATTTTTCCCACACAAACTGTTAAACCAAATATTTCATGAACGGTTTGACACATTCTAAATGGCTTCTTTTAAAAGTTATTCTTTTAATTTAAAATAAAAAAGGTGTAATTTTACATCAGCTATATATTTTCATAGCTTATACTCGTACTTCCATAAAGATTAAAATGACACCACGACGTGCTTTATTATATTTATATCTTTATAATTGTACTCCATGTAGTAATAGAATAAAAACATAATAATGAAATGTTTATATTTTAATAGTATCTCATTTCTTAATCAGTCACATAATAGACAAAATAAATAAAAAAAAAAATAAACAAAACGAAAAATTATGTTTAGAAAAATTTATTATAAAAATAATTTCACGTTTTCATTGTTTATTCTTACTAATATTACAAATGTGAAGTTGAATTTGTTTATTACATCTTAGTATTTTAACGCTTAACCGATCACTATTAAATTTGGTATACACATACCTACTATAGAGAAGGTTATAGGAAATCGCGGTTAAAAGTTAGTAACTTAATATTTTTTTTAAAGACCGATTTCAAACATAATAAGTAATATCTCTAATTGATTAAAATGTATCATCAAAATTGCTTTACAATTGGACAAAACTTGCATGACATATAAAAAATCACTTAAATAATTTTTCTTTTTTTACGTAGATTTATTTACACTTTTGTATAATATAAGTAATTTGTAAATTCATTATAA